AATGTTTAGTCACGGAGAAGGTAACGGTATCTTTGTGGAAGCAATTTATAATCAGGTTAAATTTAAATGATAAGTGTGTTAAATTCTAAGAAAGTACATCGACGAAATGGAAAGCATAATTAAAGTTTAATTGAAGAGAATGCCTGGGGCAGCGCGCGTTACTTCAACGAGAAGGAGACAAAGGTTCCAGGGAAATAAGTAAATGCAGCACTCGAAACAATTAAGAGATCACGTTTCTGGCCACCATTTGGGAAAGCTAGCCTAGGAAGAGAAATGTAACTGTATACCGTGTTCTAAATTGTTCTCGAGTGTCATAAAATATTGCATAATGCATCGAAGAATAGAGCCAGTATCTCTTCTGCCAATTTAAATTAAAAAATCTTAAATTATATCATATTTCGTCGCTAATGATATAAAAGTGGTAATTAACCAGTCGAAATTATTATCAAATGATTATTATTTCCTTTTTTTTTTATTATTATTATTTTTTTTGAAGACGTGAAAATAGATGAATAAAGTAATTTGTCAGTGGTTCATAAATTTCTGTTGGGCCACTCTTGTCCAGCGTGGAGATGGAGGAAAGGGTGAAACCGGCTGGTTAACGCGAGGGGTCACGGGTCAAAGATAGAGCGAAGCTTCGGATAAGCTGCGTGCTCTGTTCAACGTCGCGTTTTACGATCTCTATCGCGTACTATATTACGCTTACGATGATCGCGGCGTATTTACGTAAACGATCGTCGAAGAAGAAAATCGCTTTCTTCGAGACGTTTGCATGCGCGAATCGTACACGTTACGCGGATATTTATAACGATGAATCGAGAAGGTTGTCACTTCCTGTGAGGTCACAAGAATAGTCTATGAAAAGAAAAAGTGTTTACATGTTCGCGTAAACCATTCCATTGCGTAATCATCTGTCATTAGGTAGACGAATGCAGGTATGAGCTGATGCTCATGGCACAAAGCTTCCTGCGCTCGTTTCAAGGATGACGATTCATGTAATTAATCTCAATTTTCTCACCATGTAACGTAATGGAAGATGTCTTTCTTGATTAATTAAATTTTTAGAAATTTTTCTCAGTGAAAAGACAAATTGAACCTATTCGAATTTGCAATACAAGAAAATAATTAAAGTTTCCCTAGCCAAAAATTTGCAATCTGTGCGAAATAAAGTGTTAAATAATCTTACGAAAGGGAAGTGAAACGGATCAGGATTTTATTTAGTTACACAGAGTAAGCAGCTTCGAGTTCTAAGGAAAGTAGCGTGCGAGGATTCCACGTACTTAACCCGATAATCCTCGAATAACCTAATGCAACGATGCTTTTCTAGCGTACAATCTTGCAATTTATCCATTAATGTAAGGCGACGTGACTACGATCGCTGTTGTTGTTCCAACTCTTTCCTCATGGCACGGTCACGATTGTGTCGAAGAGCCGGCTGATTCGTTCGCAGCTGTGCTCTCGTTGATCGTTCGACGTGATTCTCAATCGTAATGCGCGGTTTCTTGAGGGGCATAAGTCAATTAAACCGGTATTGGCCAATCGGCTGTCTTTCTAAGCGAACAGCTTGCCATCTCGTTGATTATTTCGTTCACAACGATGCAGCTGAAAATGTCACGTCTATATTTCATAACTTACGTTTCATCCTTTTAAATAAGTGTCATTTGAAATAAATTTGAATATTTGGGTAGCTAATTTTGTTTTTGAATTTTCTTTTATTTTGCTAAAAATATCGATGACGGTTTTTATTTTCTTTTTTACGTATCGTACGATATGTAATTTACATACTAATTCGTCTGTTTATCGAGGCATAATTATTCTGAATCATCATGTATGTACAGCTTTGTTCTTCGAGTGTCACGCGCAGCTGAAAACTTTATCACAATCGTTCACGTGGTTGATTAGCATCGAGGAAGGTTACGCTCGAATTTAAAATATGCCAATTTCCTGGCGAAAAATTTGCATTTTTAAAGTTTCATCCGTCTGCAAGTCGGCCACCACGAGCACGCAGACATTCCCGATTCGAAACTCGAGCTGCCAGCTAAGCAATCCATCCAACTGGCGACGACGTTTGCTTTATTACATATTCGTTGAATTAAAATATCGTTCTGCAGCTGGTGCGGGCAGAAAGACGCTGGTCTTTCGTTTGAGAAATAAATTCGATTTCATTTGATAAAGTGTCCATCGATCAAGATGAAAGAATAATGCGGAAGGCGGCAATATTTCTTTTTCAATCCACTTTTGCTGAAGAAAATTAAAAATCATTTATTTATTTATTACTCGCCTTGACATTTTCACGGCTACCGTGAATTATTATGTTTCGCATCTTTATTCGCACCACTCTCTGGGCAAGGATACCCATTTATCCAGCCATCTAGTCCTGGTTAAACGTGTTCTACCCGCGAAGGCCTATGGGATAGTTAAGGTGATTTATAGTCTCATAAAATATTCTCCTCGTCCGTTCAGTTTGAGTAGAAACAGACAGTGGCCAATTTCGTTTCAATCCTCAAGATGGATTTTCTTATTGTTCAATGTTGCATTCAGTTATGAAATTCGGTTCCAACTTTGTTCAGGCTATTATTGAAATTTCATCCAATTCCATTGATAATTTCTAATTATTATTATTGTTGCTTCTTTATTTTGTTTCTTTTTTTAATTTAAGTACGATCGTATGAAATATTACGCAATTATAAGATTGCGTGCTAAATGAGAGGAGTGAATGTCAGAAAGTGTTAAATTTATAACATCATTAATGCGGATTCTGTTTTTGACACGCAGAATAACCTTTTAATGTATACCCATGTCCGTTCTTTTTCTCTTGTTTTTCATCTCATGATTATTCATGATGGATAACGCCAAGATAAATCGGACTGGCTAAAATTAAATAAAAAGCGTTGAATCTTGAGGCAGCTTCTCTGAGAGTATCATTAAACTTTCGTAGCGGGATCTTGCACAACGAGATGGAAGATGATTCATATTTATCACCCGCGAAAATTGCCAGAAGATTCAGATTATATATCTCGACTGCTTCCAAATGTATCCACCGCTTTAGATTCGCTTCAAACCGCGTCAAATAACTTCAAACACCTATCAAAAACATTCATAAATCAGCCTCAATTTCAAACTATAATTAACCCTTTCACCATTCAAAAATATTAGCGCGGTATATTAGGCAATTAAAAAAATTCCGCTTCAAATTTTCTTTTAAAAAAATAAAAATGTTCCTTTCCCTTCCTTAAAGTTCCGATCGCGCGTAACGGGCTGGATTTCGCGATACGGCTATTCCGCGGATAATTATATTTACAGGGAGTGGCACTCGACCTACTCGAACTCGTCTCCAACCCTTATCCCTGTGCCGCGCACGGGAACTCGCGCGATCCTGTAGAATCCGCGGCGCAGGAGCAAGCTTGCGTGCAACCTCGGGACGCTGCTTCCCGTCTCCATGGCTACGTGTCGCCTTCCCTCCGCCTCTCGACCCTCTTCCAACCCCCGTGAACGTCCTCTGGAGGCGAGATGCAGGCTTTCAACCCTCTATCCGGCCGCAGCGCCGGGGCGGCTCCCGTGTGGCGCAGACGTTCGTGCCGGTTGACCCAGGTCGCGTGATTCTCTCTCGTTCACCATCGTTCTTTTGCTATTCTTCACTGATTAACTGAGTGTCGTCTCTCCTTATGTGCATAAAATAATAAACAATTAAACAAGGAATAATTGAGGATACGTTTCGAGGACGTTCCTCGACGTTTAAGGGTGAGAAGAGAAGCGTGTTTGCTGGAGGCTGGTTGCAAGACGGTGACCTTGAGTGCCTGGATCTGCACAGGTGTACTGAAATCAATTTTTCAAGGAATACAAAGAATTTTTTTAATTAAAATTTACAAATGTCAGAAGGATACCCTGCTGTATGGTTGGAGAAAAGAGAGTACCATGTGTGTTGGAAATTTCAGGAGGAAGAAAAAAAAGTGGTGGAAAGTTGATTGTTGAAGAAGATTTAATTAGATTGAATGAAGGGTTTTCTGTGACGTATGAAAAGAACGAGCGTAATCGAAAGGCGAACAAGGCATGAGGAAAAGACGGACGAAATCTGCTCGACAGGCGGCGAGAGATTAACGGCGTGATTTTCGTCGGTGAATCATCCTCGAATACATTTGGCAAAGTTTCCGCTGCTTTCGGAGAAAAACATAGGGAAAACGGAAGGAAGGAAGAGCAAGGCGGTGCCCGATGTTGCGGAACAATTCGTAATGAGCACGGTGCCACGGCGCCGACGTAGAACGGACACGTGGTTGCGCTACATTTCGAACAACTCCCAAAATTTTCAAATGAAAATCTTCAATTGCTCAATTTTTCATTCCAAACAATTCTTGAAATTCCTTATCATTATTTCGAGGAAGAAGTTAACATAAAATTTCATGAAGAATTATCAGTAAATCGAATAAGAGAAATATTCAGAAGGAATTTGATCGGTGTTTCATGCAGGAAACGATGACAAACTCGAACAGTAGCTCGCTGTCACGCGCATGGCTTCGAGCAAATTGCTGTCGCTGCGGTGACACGCGCCAGGACACCGTGAACAATAACCTTAAGGACGAGACGCCGTTGCGGGAGGAAACGGAGACTCTTCTGCATCGTATCGCATTCACGGTTTGGCATACTGCCCTCCATATAGAGAGCGAGGTGCGTGGGTGTCGTCGTTTCGCAGCAAGCTTTTCGACGCCGCCTCGACGTCCTTCTCCTTTCGATAAGATCGTGTACGATCGATATATCGACCAATCGAATCGAGACACCCCGTCGGACGAAATTTGTTTTTCTACCGGTAGATTTACGAGAAATGAAACAGCCGAGATCGATTATGTTTGTTATTGAACGTGGCGTAGATCGAACTGTGGATAGGCTGTATTTATGCAACAGTTGTTTTCGGTCGAACAATAGGAATAATTTACGCCCTGTATACGTTATCTTCTTTTTTTTTCAATCGATGACCATTGAATTTATTACTTTTTTTTTTGTTACAGCACAATGGGGGTTACGAGGTGCAACCTAAGAATATTAACACCATCTCCAGATCCAAACAACAGGTAATTTATTTTTTAATTAAAGATATACAAAAATTTCTTCCATGGCAATTTCATAAATCATTTTATTTTTACGCGGTTACTTCTGCGTGTTTTCTAGCCAGTCATAAGTTATCTTCGACCAAAGAAACAATGAAATATTTTTCTCTCAATAAATCATCTTCAACGAGGTTTCCTGCATTTTTGCCTGCCGCGAAATTGCTTCGGCGCTTCTTCGTCGGCCATAAATTACCCATCCATAATGAAACAGATCTAAATCCACCCTCGGTAAATTTACACGTGTTTGCCCTTCTCTAAATTCGTACAGGCGATGAAACAGTCGTTTACCAAAGTCGAGAATACGACGAGAACGATCGTTATGCAAAGTGATCTGCTACGAGCGCAAGGTTTATCGTCGCCGATAAGAAGTCGCGACTCGTAGCATTTGTAACAGGCCACTCTAAATATTTAATATTAAAGCGAAGTGCCTTGGTACGGGCATCAGTGAAATCGTTTTCGTATCGGTCGTGGCACCGATTGCATCAGGCCTTCATTTATTCTGCGGAAAAACACGATCGTAGCCCTATTTACATTCGAAACAGCACTCAAACCGGCTGTGCCTCTCCTATATTCCTCAGCATTTCAAGAACGATCCCCACACAAAATTGGCCCTGTCGCCTTGAAAATCGCCTTCGAGATTCTGTCCAGTACAGGTCATTTATATTTCATCATTGCGCGTAACCTTTTGGACGCCTGGTGAATTTTTGTATGGTTTTCTGACGTTAGATTTCTCTGAAAATCATCAGAAATTGTTTGATAATTAAACTGTAACAGTATATGATTAAAGATAAGATCGTACTTCAGAATATTTCTAGCAGGAAATTAGATCTAAAATTACTGCCAAAACGTTAATTACCTGAAATTCAATCAGCTTGAAGTAGGTTAAATGGAAGCAGGCCAAATAAGATTATTTAAGAGGGTAGGAAATTAAAATTTCAGGCTACCGGAGCAGTCAAAATACTCGGAGGATCGATTGCTCGAGTGACCTTATGAAGATTACAAACCTTCTTAAAAGCAGTAATTTATTATTCTTAGTGTTCTAATTATTCCGATAGCCGTGTATTTTACAACCCTTTTATCGGGCATAAGTAGGTTTAAGCTTGTAATCTTCGTCGTGCTCTTAATTAAGCCACGTTCGCCAGTTTTCTCCTTCAATTACCATACATATTATTTTTCCACGATGCTAGGAAGACACGATTTTCTAGATAACCATCTAAGGATGCAACATGTTGAAGAGATTAAGGGTAATGTCAGAAGGGAAACTGAAAATCTACCTTCGGGGCAAGTTACGGTTTATTAAGACTTTTTTAAATTATACCAGCGCCTAGGCTGGCGGCTAGTTCTTTTCTACGGATTAACGTCGACGTCGGTGAAAATTATTCGATAAAATGGCAGTAAGCTAGTGCACCGTATGAACGGGGCAAGTATCAACCGATGCTCCGTCGAGATAATCCATGTATATTGACGTTAATCGTGTAACGCATTCTAGGAACCCTTATCCACTCATAGACTGCAGCCATTCTTGTGAAAATGTACGTCGAGAAGAACGTTCGATACAAAACTCGCGACGTTGTGAGAGAATACTGACAATTGCTCGTAAATGGTTATTGCCGAGTGTTGTGAGAAGAGGTTGCCAATAGCGATAGCAAAATTTATGGGAAAATGGGTGCATTGATTTTTCAGAATTTTCTCGCAATTCCAAATTGAAATTATGGATCGCTGAGATAGTAACAATTTCAATTTCATTTTATTATTCTATTCCTGTAGAAATTGTTTCGTTGATGGAACTATAATGAGTGATGAAACTATGTATCCTAGATGACCATGTAGATAATGATCAAATGGGTCTAGGTTGATACGTGGTGTGCATTAGTTAAATGAAGGCTATTTAAGCTTTCATACACACTATCGATCTTGGCAATTTTAAGATATCATTTTTTCGAATTTTTAAAATGTTACACCATCGATTGGACCTCGGATAGTATGTTGGTCTCTGCGAGGTTCGTTGAGCGGAAAGAAGTCGATAACGATAAAGCCCACTCTCGCTTGGCGCTATGCTTCCAATTAGAAATTAGCCGCCGGCAATTACGTGGATTAACGATAATTGACATTACCGGCGCGACGTTCACGCTCCCGAATAATTGCTTCCTACTAATGCTGTAGCCAATAGCTATCGTTTCTAGCTTCGTCTAACACAACATTTGACTATAGAAATTCCTCAAAAAGAAAACTAGGAAAAACCATTAAACTTTAAGCTTCGCATTGATATGTCATAAATACTATTTTACGACACTTTTATGTCATCAAATCACGTCAGACTTTCTATGTTTCGAAATCGCAGGGTTTGATATGCAGCTCCTTATGTCTAAGCACGTGCAGCTTTGAAATTGCACTTCGAGAAACGTAGTACCCATTAATAATTCGTAGAAACTGGTTAGATCGGCGCAATACCGATCTCTTCGCCTTTATTTCGCTGGACAATATTCATTCATCCCTTATGAATCGAGAAGCGATTTCCGCCCACGCGTGGCCGCGTGCAAATTGAAAATTTAACGATGCACGTGGTCGAGGAGGAGAAAGGCATCGGGTGGCCGGCAGCTCGGGTCCATGAAAGATGAAAAGGAAGGGCAAGAGGGTGGAATATAACGGGTGGGAAAGAGAGGAAGTCTCTAAAAATACGTTTATGGGATCATAACGCGGCGAGCTGCTTGCCGCGGCTCTGTGGCCAGCCTCGCAGGCGCATAAGTCGCCGCTCTGTTACGAACATAAATCCCTCCCACCGTTTTCGGTCTCACGTGTGAAATTGCTATTACGTTCTGCACTCTCTACCGCAGCTGTCGTTCCTTGGAAGCCGAGCTTGCATGTCCTTGCTGTTTCTCACGCTTGCTTAGGATTCGAAGATCGACGGGGGGTCTCCTCGCATCCTTCCAAAGAAAGAATCCACCGTGTTGGGATATTCGAACGATTTGTCTAGTGTCATGGACGAGTAAGTCGTAATATTGCCTGACGGAGTTAATTTTTCATTTGGAGGACTAATGATCCTCGTTCAGGATGGTTGGGTCCTCGAATTCTGGATACCCAGAATTTCACTCGAAAGATCGATAAATTCATCCAGGTGATCTTTCGAGTGACCCCGGTAGAATTGTTTGATAGATAGGTAATTCACGGACAAGGAAGTTATTCGTGTCGTCCCCGATTTTTCCTGTCTGCCCTTGAAATCGATTTACTCGCGCGCCTCGCTTTGTCGCGTTATTCGACACACTGGACTCACCTTCCTGTTCGCTAATGCGTCTCGCCTCTAATGACGAGCGCGAAGCGGCGCGGACTGAAGTCACGCTACCTGGACGAATTCGTTACATCATAGCTGGTTCGCTGAGAAATCGTTACATCGAGTCGTAACCTCGATGGTGGAAGGAGCGTATGTAGATAAACGTCAGGTGTGCGAGAAACACGGTGCAACTATTGGACAAGACCGGCGGGACCAGTGGATATTCCGCGGAACACAATACTAGCCAGTCTGTCATTCCGTCGTGCCGCGTTCTCCTCGCATCCTTCTTCGCCGACTTCGCTGTCAGGATAAACGCGTTGTTCGCGTTAAAGCGGCAGGATTTCATGTCGATTCCATGTGACACCGTGACTCCCATAAGGGCACCGGCATGCCGGATACTATGGTCGTTAGGATCGTGTACGCGCCCAAGTTCTCCAAGGTTTCTTGTTCCTCCATTATGCATTCTGACTCGAGAGAAGAGATAATAGGGATTTCGTTTCACGTTTTATATTAAAAAAAAATTGACGTTGATTTTTACAGATACAGACGTCCTCGTCGGCGACGACACCCGCGAGGACGCCGGGCGTCGGCGCGGACGCGACGACGACAGGATCGGGAAAGGGCGGAGGTCGCGTCACGGAAGTAATGGAACTTTGTTACGTCACCGAAAGGATCATTGCTCTTTGGTACAGAGAGGATGCGCAGGGGGTCCTTGAACACGCTACGGCGCTCCTGCGAGGGAAGCATGCTGATAATTATATGGTGAGCGTTGAAAGGATGCCAGTGAATTAATGGTAGTTCGCTTGGGCGTAATGTTTTTATTAAATAATCATCGTTATTAAACTGAAGCGATGGTAAGATAAACGGCGCGCCGTCGGATCATCCTTGCAAAACTCAATTATTACATTCAGCATAAGATTTATCTTTCAGGCAGTTAATATCCAACGGGGATTACTCTTTAATTGCGCTGAAGTTCTTTAGAAGAAAATCATCTTTAGCTATCAACTTAATAAACTATCATTTTCATTAACTTTAATTCCTAGATTCTCAAGATTATTCCTGGACTTTTATCGCTTTAGTCGCGATTTTTATAAAACTCAATCGAACGATTCAACTTTCAGATATTCAACCTTTCGTCACCGGGTCGCCCGGGGGAACCGAACACCCGGGAGGCAGGTTGGCCGCAAGGATTGGCACCCAGTTTGGAGAGATTGTGCGCCCTGTGCAAGGAGCTGGACTCCTGGTTGAACGGTGCTCCGAATCGCGTGGTGGTTCTTCACGCCAGGTGAGTCTGTCGTAGGACGAAGGATGGTTTTCTATGAAAGCCGGAAGCTCATTGCTCGACTGTCTTCAGGGGAAGCAAGGAACGATTGGGCGTGGCTGTTTCTGCGTATATGAACTACAGCAGCATATGCGGTGGACGTGACCAGGCGTTAGACAGGTTCGCTATGAGAAGATTCCTCGACGACAAGATTGGATCCCTGCAGGTTCCGTCGCATCGAAGGTAATGGCTGCAGAGCATGATGTTACTAGTTGTTGATATACGACGATAAGAATATTCACGGGTGTGGTCATGAAAGAGTACTGGAAATGATTAATCGCAAAGTTCCTTGATCCTTGTTTAAAAACTCACGATCCCGTGCTCGACTAGCTCGTAAATCCGCATATTCCTCTTTTTTGTTTTACGTAAATTATTATATCATCATTAATGAGCATGTCAAGGATTGAAAAATGAACTAGTAATTATGATTTTTTTATCTTTGATACACAGGTTGTTCTCAACTTGTTAGTTTCTTCGATTCACCGATATCTGTAGTTAGGAATTGTGTAACCATTTTCGTTTTAATGAAGCCTTCAGCCTTGGACTGAGACTTATTCGAGGTACTTACATGAAATGTTCTGATAGGAAACGGAAGCTAAAACTTTTCCGTATTGTAACGTTAATAAAATGATCGTGGAACAGTCCCATAAATCCCATGAGAGAATACCGGCAAGGTTTACGTACGCATCCTTGAACGTTCGTACTTGTACACCTGGTAGATTGCGTGCAGTCTACGAGCCTCGTCATCCTCGTAATCATCGATCTCTTTAATACAGAACATACCAGAATATACTTGCAATTGCAGGAGAAATTTCTTAATTTCAATAAGCAAGTGATTTTCGCGAATAAATAAATTTCAATTACGGTTCTTTCTTTTTGAAACCATTCGAGTAGCCAACTATTCGTCTCTGCAGAGATGAAAGCCTAAACCTAAGTATCGCTGCTACCGAAGGCACCTTTCTCCCCGAGTTTCAATTAATTTTCGACTTGTAATACACACGACAAACACGGAAGAGCGGTCGAAAGTAGCATGATGCCAAAGTACCTGCCGATTATACAGCATCGTGAGCGTTCACGGCCGTAATTTCGCGGGCTCCTCTCACGAATACTCGCGTGTCGCTCGTAACGAAGCCCGATACGATCGGCGGTCATCGTCAGGGAAAAAACCAGTTCCCGGTGGCACCTAAGGTGTGCAGCTTATGCTCCGGGAGGCTAAGGTTCTCCCTCGATAATGGATTCATACGTTCGCGAGAGTACGGCCACGCTAACGACATGCAAATGCTTGCTGCTCGTGGAATTAATGGGGAAACTCGATCGGTCGGGGAACGAGGAAGAAGAAGCGGCGAATACCGTGCCCATGGGGACGTTCCATACGTATAAGGACAGACCGTTCGATGGGGGGATCATTACGATCATCGTGCTCGCGTCAAACGACGGAAAGCCAAAGGCGACGAGGACTTTGGATCGACAGCGAGTGATACATGTTTGATGATGCTTCGTATGGATGGATAAGGGTTGACAGGTTTACATGCGTGGTTAGAGTTTACGAGGGTTATTTAGCCATAGGGGTCTCTTAGAAATACCGTGGTCAGATCGGGTGTATCTATCGTCGTGGTACGCAGTCTCTGGTTTCGGGAGATTTTAGGAGGGTGAAAGAAATTTTCAATTTCCTATGTGGATGTTGCAAATAAATTTATTTTTGATTTTGAAAGTACAAAGATACTATTTAATATAAAAACAGTACAGTGAGTATAGATACAATGTGCATTATAGTCCTTGTAATTAAAAATTTTACAAAAAGATTTCATGGCATATTCCTTTTTTGTTATTTTCACACAGTATATTGGAACATGTGCAATGAGCACAGGAATTAATAATAGACAGCTGTTTTTAGATTTTCACACGGTGTATTGTATCGGAGAGTGAAGTAAATACACGAAAGAATTATAAAAAAAGCCCATTCATGGTCATATGCGATGTCGTACTTGTTCAATGTTTCATAATCACCTCTTTGGTATTTTTACACGACGTAGAAGTGTCCATTCGTGGTCAGACACGATCCTAGACCGTTTCTTTTGTTCCCTCGAGTGTTACGTGATGTAACCGAAATTGGTCGTTACGATTATCTTACTTGATGAAAGCTGGTAGAAAAGCTCGTTTCACCTTGACCTAAGTGATATAAATGGTGGGATTTCTGGGAAGCATTATTAGGGCGCTAATAACTCTGTCGTGTCGAGTGTTTTAATTCCAGCGAACGTCATTCTGAAATTCGATACGCTTCTTACTTTATTAGTAATTAATTTTTTAATTAAAAATTTTCTGCTTAATACCTTGAACGAAATTTAGAAAAAGTTCCTTTCGTCTTAATTAGTCTGTTACATTAAATTGATGGTGGTTCCCCGAGGTATTAAGTTGAAAGTTTAAATTGAAAAATTTCTTTCTTCCTTTTCGCAGGTACATCAAATACTTCAGCGGTCTGTTATCTGGCTCGTTGAGAATCAGTCAGTCGCCTTTGTATTTAACACATCTCACGGTCCTCGGTGTACCACTGTTCGAACCCACGGGATGTCGAGCCTTCCTGAAGGTGTACGAAGGGCTCACTCCAGTCTACACGTCGGATCTCTATTCCGTGACGAATGCTCGTGAATTCACAGTGAATCTCGGGGGTCTACGTCTGAGGGGTGACATTCTGGTGAAATGTTACCACAGGGTGTACTCGAAGCAGAGCCGAGAAGTGATGTTCTCCCTGCAGGTAAGGCACGAGGCGATAAAAGCTATCCGATAGATGATATCGTTTAAACATAAATTCAACCACGAACAATTCTTTTATTCCCACAAACGAATAATTCAAAAACCCTTCGAACCGTAACAGAAATCGTTTCCCACAAACTTTTCCAATTCAAATGTAACACCAGCTCGCGATCTTCGTAGGATGCAATTACTGAGATCCTATCGGTTTTCCGAGTCTCGTTACACATTGGAGGGAAAAACGTGGATCACAGCGATAACAAAAGAAAAAGATCGTTTGGGTATCCGCAGAGATCGGTATTCGTTTCCGCAGTTCCACACGTGCGTGATTTCGGAGAACGTGGTGTCCTTCCCTCGATCGGAACTGGACGTGGCTTGCGACGATCCTAGATGTCCTCCGGATAGCGTGGTGACTCTGTACTTTGCCAGCGACGCCAAGCGTCAAGACGGACCCATACCTGCACCGACGCCTGCTGTGCCGCACGCCTCCGCACACCACGATCCGATCTTACACTGGGACAGCTACACGAATCTCGAAATCAGCGACGATGGTGAGTGACCCATTTCGTCTTTTCATCTCTTAACTCGCATCGTTTACGGTTTGCATAGAGATGTAACAATGAGTAAATGGTGAACGAGTAGAACGAGGGAATTTCAAGAAGTTGATCAATGATAGCTAACGGAGCCAAGGGAGTTCGCGTGGAACGAGGCACTCGATTAAGTTAGATTAGAGTAGATTACAACGCGACGGTCTAATTTGGTGCAATTGCCACGGTGCTGCGTTAGATCAGGTCACTAGGAGGTCACTGGCGAGGCTAGTTAAAACACTGTCGAAGGTGAATTGAGAGGAACTATAGAAATTGAAGAGGATAATTTAGAAATGGACTCGAATTGTAATTGAAGTGGAAAATTATGAGAGTATTAGAATGATTAATGGTACAACTTGAAGAACGACACTCGCGATATCTGTCAAGCTGGTTAGGAAGATTTTTCAAGTCGAACGGGGTGTTTGCGAGCGAGTAACGGTACGATGCTGCGTACGATTAATTAACTGATAGACCAAAACTGGTGAGCAGTAATTCAAGTGACGGAACTCATCGTCCGGGGACTAATTCGCACTAATTTTCGTCCTAATGGCAGCCAATTAACCTCGATCTGTCAGTGGGAAGCAGTCAGAAATACGACTTGGCTGCGACGAGAGTGAGAACGGTGATCGAAAGCGGGCATTCAGGTAGAGAGGGGAGGGAAAACAGAGAGACGAAAAGTTAGCAGTTAATGCGATGTATTTAAACTGGCTGACTAACGTCGCCGGAAATACGTCCTGCGAGGCGGAGGTGAAATGACGGTTTGTCGTGGCGACACACCGTCGTCGGCCGGAAATAGATCAAAGGTCGGGCCGGTGGATGGGCAAGGTCCATGATGGAAGGTGTTCTTAGGCGGATTGCTTGCTCCTATCGTGATATTTGGGAATTTGGGAATTTGGGAATTTGGGAACTTAGGAATTTGAGAACTTGGGTACTTGGGACCCGGGGAACTTAGCAGCTTGGGACCTGGGGAACCTAGGAACTTGGGAATCCGTAGGTAAATTTGGAAATCCAGCAGAACGAGGAAAACTGGAACGAGTCCGATTTTCCCAGCCCAAATTCCGACCTACGTTAAACGAAACGAAACGAATGGTCGTCCACGCTTCCCCTCTGGTTCACCGAACCATTTCGAATATTCGGAACGATTACGTCACCAGCGCGATGCGTCCGTCAAAAGTGAGGGGAAAGAAACGGGAGACGACTCCGATTCAATTCGTTTCGTTAGCTATCAACCCGTGCTTCCAATAAAGCTATGACCCAAATTATTGACGATGTTGGTTCGGTTACGAAAATAAAAATGAAACAAAAGACAGGTGGAAAGATGAAATGATAGGGGTTGCGGATAAAACACAAGGGTGAAAGAGATAAACAGAGGGATGATGGGTTGGGCCAATTACTAAACGATCGGTTAACCACTACGATAACGATCGAACGTCTGTCTTTTAGCCAAAACGTGGGTGTGACCGAACCAAAATCAATCTTGGTTCACGATAACCATTCGGTAAAATGTAAACGTTGTCACTGTCATGGTTCGAATCGATTCTATTGACTTCATTCTTCGGACACATTTATATTCCGTCAAACTGACACAGATTTTCTTCCTGTTATCGACGCGCCATGTCATGTCGCCGGCAGTTTTTCATTTCTCTCTTGTCTCTGACGAAATGTATCGAAATAGAAGTTGATGAATGTTTCTGGTCGAAAGGGTGGTTCTTTTATATTCCATACTGTGATTTTAATATCGGTATCGTATCCCATCTATCATAGAGGATGTAATAAAAGTACTGTTAGTTAATAATTTCACAATTTCAATTCATGAAATAAAATTTTTAACAAAAGTAAAAAGAAACTGCGAGAGGTCAGCAGTGAATGGTCTCTCAAATGTAACGTAAAAAGTTATCACTTCTTTTCCTACTTTCTTACAGCAAGAAACTTTTCCAGATTCACCCTGGAGCAGTAAAATAGCATAGTTAGGTGAACCCACACGGTGCAACCGCGCGATAGAAAATAAAATTCTAAGAGCGTTATTCTCGCTTCGCGAACGATCGACTTTAACGACCCGATGAGCTATAGTGATCTACTAGTCAGCGCAAAAGTTTTACCCTCCGCGTTGAAAGAAAAGTATGGACTCCCCAATGAACCAATTTTTCAACGTTTCAACTCCATAAAATAAAATTCTGCAACCTTTCGAACACGCGAGTACAATTCTTCTCCGACGCTTTTCACCCGTTTTACTTGAAATCGTTTGGGAAGTAAGTACACTTGATTCTATGAAGATCTCTTACCACAGTACTGTTCTTCTACTACAAAGAACTTTAATGCGTTCTTTCTATCGATTTTATTCAACCGTGAGCTAAGAAAACAGGGCCAAGGAACCTCGTGGCGATATGAAAATCTAAAATTAAGAGCAACCCTCTTGAATCGAGTGCTTCCTGAAGAGAACACCACTGTTCTTTGCACCCTTTTTGTTTTCAGCCATTCTTGTTCTACTTAATGATACCGAATGATCGAATTAAGATATCGACTTTCTGTGCCTGCAGACGTCACGAAAGCTTTTCTAGATCTCTCATTCTTCGTGTTTTATTCTCATTCCTATTTCCACGGTCAGTTCTTCGCGACATTCCGTTCGCCTTTTAAAGAGATATCTCCAGCAGAGGATCGTTCCTCCGTGAAACGGTCGTTAATATTTAATGAATTTGCAAATATTAATTGCACTTGTCTCGTTGGCGAGTTAATTAATTCGTGAGTTTCTTCGTGGCGATAGGGAGAGACGGAAACGAAGGTGGTTATATATGAAAGGTGGTTTTCGTAGTGGGGAGAGACGTCGGTTTATTCTTGGCGTCGGGACGCCTCTCGGGACGAGGAGGAGCTCGATAGTTTTCGCGCGATTCGACGCCGAAGCCACCAAGCTCAGAGCAATCTCTGATCTTCGAACGGCCAATTGTGCGCGTGATTTTGTTTACGTTACTCCAACTCCTGGTGCTTACGATGTTTCCATTATATATCGGACCTGTTTGTGCAATTCGATCGCAGTTTTGACTCGAAAACCAGTCCGAGTGTCAAATTCGCTGGAACGTATTTGGAACATTCTAAAACGTCGAGATTGTATTTGGTGAGTTCAATCTTATAGACCCGTGGGAATATTTTCAAAATTAAATATTAATTTTGATAAAAAGGGTGATAAAAATGAAGATATTTTTGCTTACAATTTTTCGTGAAATATTTAACAAATCTAGAGCATCCTAATGCAATATACATACTTAATGAGCAATTCTCATTAATGGTAGTCATCAATTTACATAATGCCTAATTTCCATTTAATAGAATAAATGATAGAGTACACCAGTACTCTCAATTTACCCATTATCTGATTTCTGCTTACGTATTCTATTAACTACTCGCCCATTCGTTTCCACGGGTATAGTAAACAGATTTTTCTATCAGCCTTCGGCCATTTACTCTACCAATATAAACTAGGCTTAATTGATAAAATGTAGGCGGTAGCCATTTGAGTCTTAGGATGTGGGAAGAGAATATTCGCCGTCGGCTAGTGGAACATCCACTAGTCCAAATATTTTTTCTCCTTCTTTTTTTTTCTAATCCCTTGACCGTATTCACGACACCGGTATCGATGTGTCAAGATACACCTTGTATATTTTACAAGCAACCTCCAAAATAGGAGCGCGTTTCTTCGAATGGAAACCGCTCCGCTAGAGGGGAAAATCGTGTGCAGAGAATAGAGACTTCTGATCCAAAATTGGTAAATCAGCCTGTCGCCGGGTACTCTCGCTCCGAGAAACAGGGTCCGTCGACCGCTGGAAAGTCTGTTCCTGGAAAGTGATGGCCGGTCGTAATCTTTGGAAAAACGGTCCTTACATGGAACTTGCCACGCGGTTGACTACGATTTCCGTTCGAGGCCTCGAGAGATTTCACCTGGTGGGCACACGCGTTAAAAGGATGCTGCTTGTCGATATTGTCAAGACCGAACGTCATAATTATACCGCTTTCTTCTGACGATTTCTAGTCCGCTTCCATCCGTCGTTCGTCCGTTCACGTTGTCGCCGCTGAGACGGTAATATCTCTTAAGAGGAACAACGCGATCTCTCTTCGAGTTTGTGCCACGCGAAGCCGCTTTCAATTTGTTGAGTTCAACGTTGCAATGCTGACCTTTGCCCTGCGTTCAAGCTGCCGGCTGAGTCTCACGACTCGTTTGAAGCATCGTTAGACGATACTAGTCGCGATCCTTGTTCTCCAGATGCTTTCAAGTCCGAGTTGAGAGTCATATAGATTTTTTTAAAATTCAATATTGACAGTAATTGGGAGAGTAACTGTTCTTCCGGGTCGTTATCGAACGATCTAATTGCTTAGAAGGATATTTCAGAACTTATTGGAACTTGGGGACGTTAGAAATTTAGAAACTTAGAAATGTAGAAATCTGAAATAAAATATTTGACTTAGAGGAACCGTTTGACAAGATCAACCCCAGGGCCCCGTTGAGCGGCGTAAAAGGGCGAATCGGTTGCACAATGGATACCGAAGTGACGAAATAAAAGTACAGGAGGTATCGCGAAGGGAGTGCTCGGGGTTAGAGTAAACAATGGTGACGTAACAGCAGGAAGACGTACGGCCGGAGCGACAAGACAATGGCCTGTTGTCTCTGTTTTCTCTGTCCTCAACCCTTTCTCCCTATCTTTCTCGCTCCCCATCCAGTCGGTACGAGGAACATTTTCTCTTCTGATTGCGCCGCACAATTTCTTCGACAGGGACCGAACAAAAGGCTCCGGAGGTCGAGCCGTGGAAACGATTTTTGAGAGTCAGCGTGCACACCGTACGCCGCTTTGTTTCTCAACAGACCGGTTAAAAATAATTCCCCCTTCGTGCAGAGGCATTCGTTCGGAATCGATACGTCACTGAACATTCGGAAAGAATGATATGCTGTTTCAGAAGAATTCCTCTTTCCTCTTTCT